TTTTCTGTCTGTTCTTTTACAAGTAGGTTGAATAAGTGTGGGCGTTTGCCACAGCTCATCATATGTCTCCATTATTGCCTCATCTAGGGCAAAGCAATTTTCCCCTGCAACATGGAATGCAGATTCTTCAGCAAACAGTGCCACTTTTCCTGCACTTCTTGAACTCCATCATAGTTTCCATTCCTGCACAGGCTGTTGACTCAACCTCCATACCCATTGTCATGTCAATATGATCTTTTCTCCCAGAATCATGGGACAATGCTGCATCTTCAGCCACACACCTTACATCTACATGTGTTGCTCCTACCTGGTTTTGGATATTAGAGACCCAGTGCTCTCAACAGGTGAAGGATGTTCTTCTCCGCATTAGAAGATCTTACACTTACAAAACTTACGTGCAAAAATGGACTTGTTTCTCTCACTGGTGTCAAAGAGCAGTGAGGGACACTCGTACATCTCCAGTGAATGTTCTCCTTAATTACATTGTAGAACTTAAGACAGCTGGACTTTCACTTGCTCCCCTAAGAGTCCACCTTTGGGCTATAACAGCTTTTCCACACCCTGGTGGAGAGCCTCTCCATTTTTACTCACCCGGTCACAAAAAGCTTCTTTAAGGGTCTCCAGAATATATACCTACCCTGCAGACTTCCACATCCAGCATAGGACTTGAACCTTATTTTTGGACTGTTCGACTAGTCCTCCATTCGAGCCTCTGGTCACAGCTGCACTTCCCTTCCTATACATGAGGGTCTGTTTTCAGTTGGTTAATACCTCAGTGAGGTGGCTTGTGGAGATTGGGGCCCCTACAGCATCCACCACGGGCACATTTCACTCTAGCTACAGCTGTCTCCACAGCCTGCAACATGTTCCTCAGACCACACTTTTGCGAAACACTGCAATACTACCACAGCTAGCATCTGACTCAGCGGTGGCCACTGCAGTCTTGTCCACCACCGCCAAACAATTACTCTGACATCTTCCATCCAACTTGAATACAGCTCTCTAGTCACCAACACTGGAGCACCCATGGGACCATCACTCGAAGGGAGGGAAAAAGGGGGAGTTACTTACTTCATGCAGAAACGACTGTTCTTTGAGATGAGTCTTCATATGTTCTCCACAATCCTTCCTTCCTCCCCACTACTCGGAGTCTTAGTTACTCAGACATAGCAAAGGAACTGAAAGGGAGGGACCAGGCATGTCAGGAGCTCGGGAGTAGGTAGCGTGAGATGCCTCCTTCGCATGCATGTCCCAGCGGTGGGGGGAGGGGAGGTACTGCTTTGCAGTGCTCCGATTTTGTGGCTCTGGGTGACCTTTCACCAGTAGTGGAGCACCCATGGGGTTATGCATCTCAAAGAACAATTGTGACTGTACGAAGTAACACTCTGTTCCTCAGATGAGCAGAGATCTTCCTGTTTTCTTTTAAAGCTAAAACTAACATGGCTACCCCTCTGAGAATTTTCATCATGTTAGTTTAACAAACTAAGTTTGAAAAAGATTTAAATATTAATTTGTGTTCAAACCAAAAGATTTCAACCTTTTTTAAGAGCAGGGATGGAGAACCTTTTTTTGGGTCGGGGGCCCTGACCCACATAAAAATCAGTCAAGGGCCGCAAAAAAGTGAGAAGCAAAAAAAATTTTTTTAAAAACAAACCCCAAAACATCACACTGGGGGTGGGAGTGAGGGGGAGAGGTTCTTCTTCAGGTGGTGTCCCTGTGGGTGCTCAGCTGTTGGTGATGGGTAATCCCTGGAGCTGCAGTTTGGAGCTTTTCCTAGCAGTTGATAGTTGGGCTGCACATGTGTGGGAGGCACCTTGTGCCACTGACAGGTTGGTGCCTCGCACAGCAGCCTGACCACCCCCTCCCCTCCAGTTCCTCTCTAGCCCCCCTTGGTCATGGACAGAGATTTTATCTGTCTTCTCTCAAGCGCTCACTTCTTCACACGTTTCTTGTTACTAAGTTTCTTTTGTTACACGTTTCTTGTTACTAAGTTTCTTTTGTTACTGTTAAATGATTCCTTGTTACAACTTCATTAAATAAAAAGACACTTTTTTTCCCCCCTAGTCCCAGTCCTGATGGACCGCTTCTGAGGTGGCAGCTCTGATTTTTCTCATGACCTGTTTTATTCCTCC